ATCTTGAATCAGAATTGTTCATTCAAAACATTTTTCTCGTATCGCTTCGTTATGGTGAGGTATCCGCATTGATGGAACATATGCAAAAGTTGGACGCAAGTTTATCGATTTGGCGTGCTACATTGCTGCAGACATGTCACTATCTGGAAACGCAGAATCTTCTCAACTCACTTTACCAGCTGCAGTTGTTGTTGCAAGATCCGGTACGTGCCGCCATGACTTGTGTGAGATTCTATTCCGCGAACTGTGACAACTTCCAGCAGCTGCAGGCGAATGCAATGCATTTGCATAATGCGCAACAACATTTACAATCTCAGCTGGAGTTAACCGAGTGGGATAAAGTGAGTGTGGAGCCCTTGCAGCGCAAAAGAAACAGTTCCATCGGCAGTCGACGCTCAAGTGTGGCGTCTAGGGCGAACACGCCGTCTATGCATTCAAACTTTTTAATGGAAATGGATGCGCGTGCACTGAACAGTCACATTAATACGATATCAATGCAATTAGAAGTGACAAAATTTCTGGCACATTGTGAGATAGAGATGAGCGTAGCAGACGAACCCATTACTTTGAAAACGTTGAAACAGGTAATCAAGTAGAAGGTGAATGTATTTGAATTCCTAAAGCTAAATAACACTGTTTCAGATTCGCGTTGATAGCACGGGCAAGTTCAAGCTGCCAACACTATTTGATGCACTTCCAGATCGAATACAAATTTGCATTCTAATTTTATTATGTGGCAAAAATATCGACGAGGGATTTGGTTTGACATATAGGTGAGTGGCGGTGCTTAACGCTTAGCGCATAGCTTTTAACGCAATATTAATTTGACAGGATTATTCATTATTACAAATTGCCCGACGTAAAAGTTTATGCAGCAGCTGCCAAATTTCTTGCCTGCAATCAGCGCATTGGCGAAGTGGAGAAGCTCATAAGCTGCATAACTAGCAACAATGGCATCAAAACTCGCGACATTGATGAAATTCTCTCGGCTGCCATCAACTCGGCATCCAATAGCAACGAGGCAGAAGTAAAAACTGCACTTGATAATCTCGCTAAAAAAATTCACAGTGTGGAATTGCGCATATCTTGTCACATATTCATTGGACAGTTGAAATCCGCTTATCTTTTAGCGAATAAGTATGAACGTATTGGAGATATACGCCGCATACTTCGGCAAGCCGAACTAACGAATCAGGTGCACATAAAGAAATTATGTGAAAGAAAGTTAAATTTCAACGCCTCACCGCGCGAGTGATTTTAACCTTGACTGACTAGTAGAAGAAGTATATGCCCGATTATGCGTATTTCTGCATTTTTAAAAGGAATTACTTGTTAGATATTTACACACATCATGTGATTTTATGCCCATCTCATTGTAAGTTTTACCAAATTTATACCTACATACATACATATAATATATTATCCAAAATAAAGTGGAAGAAATTGTATATGCCATATTCTAATTGTGCCATAATGTTAACCGCAAGAAAATTTACGTTTATGATCTGATTATGGCAACTTAACGTAACTTACAGACTCTCACTTAAAAATTCTCTTCAATGGATGTTGCTTATAATTGAACAGCTGAAACTTAACGTAACTTAATACCACGTCGAAATCTGTTTCATTCATTTTGATTTTCTAAGTTCCGTTAGGTTGCCATAATCAGGCTTTTAGACGCAATTGTCCTGTGATATGCCTTCACAATCCAGAGATATGTTTATATGCAGATTAGGGTGGTCCAATAATGCATGTGAAAAATTAAAGTAGGAATTTTTATGTTCTCACCCCTAGGATTGTTCTATGCCGAAAAAAAGTATACCCCTATTTTTTATTTTGAAATCAAAAAATATATAGCGCTCAAAGTTTTCTATGTATTTTTATATGGGGAAAACGCTACTTTTCGTAGAAATGGTAGAAGAATTCTCTCTAGACCTCTAGATATTTTTTGATAAAAAATAGGGGTATACTTTTTTTCGATATAGAACAATCCTAGGGGTGAGAGCATTACAATTCCGACTTTACTGTTATTGGACCACCCTAATGCACATGCGTATGTAAATCAGTAACGCTCATAGAGAGTTTTTACTCTGTACGCGTCCATATAAAATCGCGAACGCTATTTTGAGCATCACTGCAGTGAATAGCCATTTACCACACGATGTAGAGAACAAAGGTGGCCCATCTCGTACCGCTATTCCGTAAAATTTTTCTCAAAAATCCTCTCTGATGGGCGCAATCTTGTATTCTATCATTCTTGCATTTACCCAGCTACAGTATCCCTCCCGTAATTGTGCCAGACTTACGCGGTTTTCTCGAAACAGCTGAAGCGCTTTGTCTTCGATGGGCTGGGCTTCATCTCCGAGGACGGGATTGACGGGGCGAGAGTTACTAAGAGAGAGAGTTCCTCCTGATAAATGTCGTTTATTGCCTGTATGTACCACGTCGGATCCAATGGTTGTGCGATGTAAGTCTAGATCACGTTCGTAAGGTCTAACGTACCCTTGCGGTTGTTGTTGGTCAGCTGATAAATGTTGAGTGACATTTTGACGACAATTTGTCTTGTTGACTTATGTAGTGTTTATTATTTCTTATAAAAGTCCAGCACATTCAGGGCTATCACGGAATCCGTCGTAGAAAAACTAAGAACTCAAATGCCCGCTACGAATACGAAAAATTTCTATCACTGAATCCGAGTGAACTCGAAAGTATCGTTGCCAGCTTCGAAATCAGTTAGTGCAAAGGAAACAACAGACATTAATGTATGTCATTTTGCTCGCGCTGCCCCATCAGGCGCAATGGCCGAGTGTGCAAACCCTGCAGGGAGTGACGTTAGCTTATACCTAACTTTAGTCTGTTTACGCGAACACTAGTGCAAACTATTAACTGTGCATTTTGTTCGAAAAAAGCTAACTACTTTTGTGGGGCAATGGCCGCAAAAAAGTCAGACCTGGATACGTCTGCATTACATGTCAACTAACTTGTAACTAACTACTTTTGGACATAAAATATCAATAAGAAAAACAAAATATTTTTTTGTTTTTTTACTTTTTTATTTACTTATTTATTTACTTTATTTTATTACATTTCATATTTGTTTACATATTCTGCTCTGCTCTCGTAAATTCAAAATGATAGTATAAAATTTCGATCTTCCTTTTATTTGTCCTGAATATGAAAAAGAATCTGCGAAGTTCAGAAAAAAAGTGTATTGAAAGTAATTTTTGTATGAGGATATTTAATAGAAACTTGTAAAGAAAACCAACTCCCGATTGCGTCTGCATGACTCCTGCACGACTTTACAATTCACTTTAAGTTGATTTTGTCATTGCTAATTAAAAGTGAGGTATTAATCGAAATCTCGCCAAAAAGCTAACTATAAGTTGGTTAGTTTTAACAATTGATAATTTTTCACTGCAGGGAAGCACTAGACTGCCAATTGAGTGGAGATTTTTTTATTTTTTTAGTTAATTTTTGTTTATTTTTTTAATAAATATTTTTTTTTTTAGTTTATTTTTAGCTTGGATTTTATTATTTTAAATAGAAAAATATTTTTTTTTGTAAATAAATTTGTATGATATTAAAGTAGTTAGGTTTATTTCCTAATAAATTGTTGCTAAACTATTATTTCCTCGATTCATACAAAATATAAATTCATTAAATAGCGTCTAGCAGATGAATGCGTGTATGTACATATGTATGTATGTATGGCATTGGTATTTTACGTCTACGTTTACACAAATATATGGAATTATATCAAACTATAACAAATTTGGAGTATAATAAATATTTAATATTTAAAATAATGCAGCTTTCTTCCACTATTTTTAAGATTGAGTGAATTTAAATTTTGTTCCGACAGCAAAATCTCGTCGTAGAGTATCTGTACGAATCTTCATTACGAACAGATTCAATGAAGGCTCTCTACGAATTTCGAATTTACGTTCGTAGCCATTCGGATTCTGTGATAGCGCTTTCGTAGATTTCACGAAAATCGAAGCTACGATGGATTCTGTGATTATTCAGGGTGTCATAGACCACCCGTCCACCCCCTATAAAATGAATTGAAAAACGCAAAAATCTTACCTACCAAATCAAAGGACCGGAAGGTAATTTTCTTAAATTAGACATATGTATATGTTGTAACCACAGATTCGGATTTTGCGCATAAAAATACATAACTTTAGCCGGAAACTCTTTTTTGGAATGGACTCCCGGTTAAAACAATGGACTTCCGATCGGTTTAACTCACTTCCGGTCTACACCGGAAGTCGGTAATCCGTCTAAAATATAGAGCATCCTCGACTTGGGAATTCATATTTGTTCGTTTTCCAATAAGAACATTTTCATTCATTTCAGTTGAAGTTCGAAGGCCATTTATATGCCTATTCTGGGCCTATCTGGCCTATCGATATCGTATTACTTGTCACGTAAAAGCACATTTTTCAGATTATGGCATACGTGAACGTACTCTTTGTCCCATTCTGCTTATACTGCCCAACGTATCATGTAATTTTCTTTCGTATGGTTTTCGATCTGCGAACGGATGTTACTATTCGAGCCCTGCATTGGTAACAAAAATTTTGTTACCGGTAAATATAACTCGTGTAAACTTTTAAACCGTTTTCTCATTGTGCGCATGGCAAATATTGTTTCCATCTCATAAGCAGGTAACAAAATACTGCCCGTGAAATATGCAACACCAGAATTTATACAAAACTTGAATTACTGAATATATTAAAAGGTTACCAAGTTACTTAGAATTGCTTTTACAAGAAGTGGTGACATTTATTGATAACAAAATTTCCCGCTGTCAAAATGTTCGGTAACAAGCAGAATAGACCTGTTGTAGATAGAAAAAGGTACTTCCGAGAAAAGAGTTCCAAACAAAAATACGTATTTTTATCCTTAGACTCCGAATCTGTAGTAAGAACATATATGTATGTCTTCTTCTTATTTGGCACTGTAACCGCCTAAGCGATTTTGGCCCAGTTCAACAAAGCACGCCAGTCGTTTGTTTTCGGTGCCAACTGACGCCAATTGGAAATGCCAAGTGAAGCCAAGTCCTTCTCCACCTGGTCTTTCCATCGCAGTGGGGGCCTCTTCCTCTGCTACCACCAGCGGATTCCGAGTTGAATACTTTCACAGCTCGAGCGTCGGTGTTCATTCGAACGACGTGGCCAAGCCAGCGGCGCCACTGTATTTTAATTATCTGCACTATGTTCATATCGTTGTAAAGCTCATACAGCTCATCGTTCCATCGTCTGCGGTACTCGCCGTCGCCAACCCGTAAAGGCCCGTAAATCTTCCGCAAAATCTTTCTCTCGATTCGGAAAAAATCTAGACGTGATGGAGTAAAACGGACTTCAGATTCGTGTTCAGCGACCCCAAAAACATGGCATAGACTAGGTTTGGTCAAAGGAACCTTTCATCGATTTTTTTGTTTTTTTGTGGATCTGTGTTATTTAAGGTTTTGTAAGTAGCTTTTTTCAAAAATTTGACACTCCCACCCACAGGGATGGTTTATGGAAGCAGGAGAAAAAAGAGAAGGACTCAATAACACTTCCTAAAATGGGAGCTAAATTCCATAAAAGATGTTGATAATAGTGAATGGTGGTATTTTAAAACAAAAACGAATTTGATTTAATTATTTAATTTAAACAAGCTTATTTACATCGAATATAACCCCCGATTTTTATTAAAAATAAATAATATAATAATAGATAGAATAAAAGAAATATCACTGTTTTTGTTTTTAGGAGTAGGGTGGGAGTGTCATTGATAAAATTAGAGCGAGAAAAAGTGTTTCTTACAAAACCTTTCATTATTAAATCGTGAATTCAGCCCATAGCTCGAGTCCAGCGCCGCTCTTTATTTGAAACGATCGTTAAGTAGTGGTTGGTGGTGTGAATGTGAGTTTCGTTTGTTTACGTGATGAGCGGGTAAACGCTAGTGAAAGACGCATATTTTCTTAGTATCTGCATTCAACTAGTTTCAACTTAACAGCGACGCTAGACTCGAGTTAGTTCATCAGTTGATTCTTGCAGCCTTTTAATACGCACATGCATTAGCGCACACAAGGGGTGGGTTTTGGGGTGCAAACCCCCCTAAAGCTAATGACCCCAAATGCAAACTGTATCTTAAAGCTAAGAATCCAGCCCTCAGGCAAATTGTAAGAAATATTTATTATAATTTCTGTTGCTTGAAAAAGCGCTTTGCTTTTGCTGTAAATTTTCATGAGGAAATGAATATACGAGCATTTTTTTCTTCAGAGCTGCAAACTGATTTAAGGAATTTTGGTAGAAGAAAATTTCTTTTCCATTTCTCGTTCGTCGTTTTATATGAATTTTTCGTTTTTCTTGAGAATTCAGTTAATTTTTTCGGTATACGAAATATTAAAAAAATTTAGAAATCGTGAAAAATCACCATCTCTATCGAAAGCCAGAAA